AAGCGGAACTTCCCCTTTTGGGTGGAGCTCCGCTATAACCACTTGCCTACCGACCACTTTCACCCCCTTCCTGCCCAGACTACCAATTTTCAGCTTTCAGCGCTCTCATACTTTAAATGACAATTGCGCGGCCATGCAACACTGTACCCAAACTAAATTTTTATCATTTTATTTAGACAAATAGAGCTTTCTTTTGGTGGTATTTAATTTAATTTTTTGCTAAACAAACAAACAAACAAAAAAAAAAACAAATTTTGGAAAAAAAAAAAGTTTCTCTTGGTCTGTCACGGGTCCCACAAGACTTCGGGGAGGGAGAGTAGGAGGACAACTTCCATTTCCGATCGCCGAGGCCAGTGGTTCTCAAACTGTGGGTCGCGACCCCTTTGGGGGTTGAACAACCCTTTTACAGGGGTCGCCTAAGACCGATGTGTAAAGAGCAGCTACTGTGTAGAAAGCAGCTGCTGTGTTGAAAGCAGCCGTATTGGAAGTAAAACGACACTTCATGAATAATAATAACTGGGTAACTAAATTTATGGTTGGGGGTCACCACAACATGAGAAACTGTATTAAAGGGTCGCGGCATTAGGAAGGTTGAGAACCACTGGCCTAGGCGATTGCAGCAGAAGTGGGAGCGAGTACCTGTCAAATGTGGGTACCCGTTTCCCCCCACTCCTCAAAGGTGCCAATCCTTAATGGACAGCGGGGGACCAATCTTTAAAGCGGAACTTCCCCTTTTGGGTGGAACTCCGCTTTAACAGATGTGGACATTAACGGATGTAAACAGATGGGTCATCCATTTACATCCGCTAGTCCATAGAAATACATGGGTGTCCCTTTTTCATCCGTAAACGGACATACGGAACGCCCGTGTGAAAGAGGCCTATGGGACTGTTTTTTCTAAACCTTAATCTGATAAAAAAAAAAAAAAAAAGTTTTTGGCTGGAGTTGCAACCAAAGAAAAAAATATTACACTGGCATAAATGTCCACATTATTAATAATGCCAAAATACATTAAACTCAGCAAACGATCTCATATTTCACTCTTAGCTTTAGGTTGATATCCTTTAACAGCGAGCGTATGATTTAAGCAAGTTGGAGAAGCAATGGTAATTCACTGGTAGCTGCTCGTCACATCCCTGGCAATTATCCCCGCGAACCTGAAAGTCACCTTGGTCGGCGTCTCAGCGCTTGTGGACAGACGTCTTCCATTCATCCTCTGAACATGATGCATCTGTAGAGCGCACCCATCATATCAGTGCAATGATTCAGAAACGTGTCAATTTCCATACGCTCCCCAGAGGGGGAATGAATACGCAATTATATCCCATCCTGCCCCGAATCTGCATTAAGCCCCTTTCGTTCAAATGAGAGAAGGCAGACCTCGAGCAGCAGGAGCCGCCCACTGCTGGGTACAAAGCACTTTTGTAAGTGGTACACCAGAGAATAATCCTCACAGTTAATAGACTTAATGAGCTGAGAGTCGTACGGAGAGCAAGAGGCAGGAGAGGAACAAGGGTCTTCTCACATTCTAGAGAGAAATGTCACAAAAAATAAAATGTGTCTGGACCAAAGCATAACCAGGCTTCTTTCCTGCTAAAAAGTCGGCACGCCTAGTGCTGGGCACAGATGTTCACCACCATTCTGGGTATTTTCTCTTGGTTATGGCAGACAGCCAACTTCCCTTAAACAAGCTCAAGTCAAGATGGCACCAAGGCACTGGATATGTATCCGAGTTGCGAAGACACGGGGGACTAGAAGCTCAACAGCTTTGGGTTTTGCAGCTCCACAAAGCAGGGGTCCCTCAGGATCAGGGGTCAACCAAATTAAGAAGTCTACACACAGATGAACCAGAAGGCGCACCAAACAAATGTTTAGGAGTCCAGAAGTATTTTATCGATTCCATAGTAGACAATGTGCCATGTGTCCCCCTTGATTGTCTGGGAGAAGTCCTTACACAGGTCTCCTAACTGTATCTCATCATGAGTCCAATCAAACCTACAGTTTAAGCTCTGGGAAAGGGCGAGGAACTTCCACCGAAATACGTTGGATTCACCAGATCCAGGGAATATCCGATCGCCACTCGGGGGATCAGGAAGGAATTTTTTTCCCTGCAGGAGCAAATTTGATCATGCTTTGCTGGGTTTTTTTTCCTTCCTCTGGATCAACTGTGGGTATAGGATTATAACTTTTTTTTTTCAGTTTTCAGTTTTCAGTGGATGAACTGGATGGACTTTTGTCTTTTTTCAACCCGACTATGTAACTATGCAACTATGTAAGATACCAAAAGGCAATAAATGCATTTTGGGGGCCAAAAAATCCTCCTTCATCAGGGCCATTAGATACACTGGTAAGTGCTAAAGCCCTGATGAATGGGAGTTGTTTGACCCCTGAAGTGCATTGTCTGCCTTGTGTCTACTACGAAATCAATAAAATATGTCTGAATTACATAGTCTGGCTGAAAAAAGACAAAAGTCCATCCAGTTCAACCATTAAAACAACAAAAGTTATAATCCTACACCCACAGTTGATCCAGAGGAAGGCAAAAAACCAGCAAAGCATGATCCAGTTTGCTTCCTGATCCCCGAGAGGTAAACGGATATTCCCTGGATCAACTTTACCTATAAATGTTATATCCGGTTATATTCTGTGTATCTAAGAGAGAATGCAGGACTTTTTTGAAGCGCTCCACTGAGCTGGCCAGAACCAACTCTTGAGGGAGTCTATTCCACATTTTCACAGCTCTCACTGAAGAAACCTTTACTTGTTTGGAAATTACAGTTCTTTTCCTTCAGACGTAAAGAGTGCCCCCTTGTCCCCTGTGATGACCTCAGGGTGAATAGTTACCTAGTTATTCTGGCTGAAAAAAAAAAAAAAGTCCATCCAGTTCAACCATTAAAAAAAATTATAATCCTACACCCACAGTTAATCCAGAGGAAGGCAAAAAAAAAAACCCAGCAAAGCATGATCCAATTTGCTCCAATTCTTAAACATTTGTATGTTGACAGTAATTTGCCTGCTCCTCCCTTTCAAATCAATGTGTTCAGGCAACTCGAAAATAAACATTTACAGAATTATTAGGCAACAGACTTGCTTCTGGTCATTACAAGAGACAAGAGGGCACTGGAGAAAAAAAAGCCTAAACCTCCACCTACCGTATGGAAAGGATTATTTACAGTAAAAGGTGTGACCGTCAGATCTCCTGATGTCAATATTTGTCTATCTGCTCCACCCTTTTCTAGTGTATTTAGGCTATTTGAACATTAAGGTGTATGGACCTGTCAGGCAACAAACGTATTTGTGCCCATTGCAAAAGAAAAGGGGGCACTCTTTACATCTGGAGGAATAGAGGTTTAACCTTCATATACTCAAAGGGTTCTTTATGGTTAGAGCTGTGATAATCAACTCTGCTCCTAGATGAGCTAATGTCAACAGTTGTCTGTCTGCTCCTCCCTTTTCAGACAACTTGCTTCTGGTCAATGCAAAAGAAAAGGGGACACTTTTTTCAGAGAAAAGGTTTAACCGCAAACACATACGGAAAGGGTTTTTTACTTTACAGTAAAAACTAGGAAAATGTGCAATAGTCTTTTCACACTAACTGGTTCTAGCCAAAACAGTAGATTGCTTCAAAAAAGGGCAGAATATTTTGTGACGTGCTGCACAAACTAGTAGCGCTATATAAATCCTATATTATAATATGTTTTTTAAATGCACAAAATATATCAGGTGATTAATATTTAAAAATAAAAACTGTAGATCAGCCTCTCTCAAACCTTTACCCAAGAGGAACCCTTTGAAATAATTTTCAAGTCTCAAGGTACCCCTGGTAAGATTAGTCTATCAGGGTCACAGGGAAAAAGCCCCTTCCATTGGCGATGGTAAGTGGGAAGAATACCCCCCTTATAGTAGTGGCCAAAATGACACCCTTGGGGTCATGTCATTGACTCTGCAAAGTGGTGTTGGACCTGGAACTATGGAGGCCCATCAGATGGGAGGTCAGTTAGCCACAGCTCAAGGAATCCCTTGCCACCCCAAGGGGAACCTGGTTGAAAATGAATGCTGTAGATGGTTGATCCAGGGAGTATCCAATAGATTGAGGGGATCAGGAAGAACATTTCACTTGTTAGACAAAACTAAAACAATGACTCATATGGTTCCTTTTGGCAACCTGCAGGCGGGCTGCTGTTTGCCTTTTACTGAGGAGTGGCTTCCATCTGGCCACTCTACTATACAGGCCTGATTGGTGGAGTGATACAGAGATGGTTGTTCTTTTGGAAGGTTCTCCTCTCTCCACAGAAAAATGCTGGAGCTCTTTCAGAGTGATTATCGGGTGCTTGGTTACCTCCCTGGCTAAAACCCTTTTCTCTCGATCACTCATTTTAGCCGGGCAGCCCACTCTAGGAAGATTCCTGGTGGTTCCAAACTTCTTAAATTTACGGATGATGGAGGCCATTGTGCTCAATGGGACCTTCAATGCTGCAGAAATTTTTCTGTACCCTTCCTGAGATCTGTGCCGATACTATCCTTGCAGTGCCCCCCCCACCCCCCTTGCACTGCAAAGGTAAATTGTCATTTTTGTGTAGGAAGTTATCTCCAAACTGCCTACCATGGGACATAATTCTTCCCGTTGACACTAATGATAGGGCATAATTCCTCCCACTGACTTCAACCATGGGGCATAATTCCTCCCACTGACCTCAACCATGGGGGATAATTCCTCCCATTGACACCAATGATCGGACATAATTCTTCCCATTGACACTAATGATTGGGTATAATTCCTCCAACTGACACCTACCATGGGGCATAATTCTTCTCATTGTCACTAACAATGGGGCATTATCCCCGCCACTGATACCTACCATGGGGCATAATTCCTCCCGTTGATACCATTGATGGGACATAATTATTCCCATTGACACGAATGATGGGGCATAATTCCTCCAACTGAAACGAACCATGCGGCATAATTCCTTTCATTGATACCACTGATGGGACATAATTCTTCCCAATGACACTAACAATGGGGCATAATTCCTCCCCCCCCATTGATACCTACCATCGACATAATTCTTCCCATTGACACTAGTGATGGGGCATAATTCCCTCCACTGATATCTACCATGGGGCATGATTCCTCCCACTGGCATCAACCATGGGGCATAATTCCTTCCACTGACACCAATGATGGGACAGTTTTTCCCATTGGCACCAAAGATGGGGCATAATTCCTCCCACTGACACCAATGATGCGACAGAACTCCTCCCATTGACACCTACCATGGGGCATAATTCCTCCCACTGATACCTATCATGGGGCATAATTCCTCAGAATTAAACCAATGATGGGACTTAATTCTCCCCATTGACACCAACAATGGTGCATAATTCCTCCCTGTGGAACCTACAAAAGGGGCACTATTCCTCCTCCAACTTATCACAGGCGCTAAGTAATTTTTTTATTTCCCCTGGCCTCCAAACCTGAGGCATTAATTACTCCTATTTACTTAGAGGTATTTTCAACTCCCACTGGCCACAAACCAGACCCCCCTAAAGTCCAACTGACAGTAAACTGGCCCCTAATCAAGAAACTTTGAAGACCCCTGGCCTAGCGGAACATTAAAAGGCACACCTGCTTAACTTACCTTTGGCTCCCAACAGCTAGTGGTCTTCCCTTCGATATAGTGGGTGAGCTCTTGGCGTCTTCATTTACAATACAGGCCTGCTGGGCCAGCATTGCACTCCATGGAAAGGTTTCAGGGGACAAAGAGGAGGAAGCTTGCAGGAATATGGTAAATAAAACTTAATGGTAACCCTAGACAAAAATGAGCAGTGCGGGGGAGTCCTGTTCCAAGGGTAGTTTCACATCTCCCTGGAGTTCACCTTTATAGGGTTAATACATCCATTTTTAACAACGTGTGAAAAGCTCCCGGTTATGTAAGAGCTTCTGTGCCACTTCTATCCACTGCCTCAACGCTTTACACATCATGAAAGTTTACACCCCGGGCCCCAGGGATCAGGGCTTTGTAATAACATATTTGTGTGATACACAATCTCTTCCAGCTCGGCGGGGAGGGAGATCAGTGAGGTTTTTCGTCAGAAGGACAATATTTGGAGGAGATGAAAGTCACCGAGGCTGACATTTTAAGTCAGATGGAAAATTCACCGCCTTGCGCTGACTTTAGACTCCCTTTGGTGTCAGTCAACTCAAAGGAAGAACAGTAAATAATAAGACTGCCATGGTGGAAATACTCAGTCCAGAGTAATAGGTGTGTCACGGATAACAAGTTAGAAAGGACCTATTTGCTACATGAAGAAATAAAGGACTGTGCATCAGTTTTTTTCATACTGTTTTCACGTTTTTTTTTTCATACTGTTTTCAACATGATCATTGTGTATTTACTATTTTTTTTGCATTTAATTCTGTAGAGTATTGCACCTGCAATCAGTGCATTGTGGGTGTACAGGCTCTTGCAAAGTCTTCCCCAAGTCCCAGGTCCATGTGGAGGTAGAGATCTGCTCTTATAGGGCTGCAGCAGGACTACAGGAGGAAGTGGGAGGGTTCCCAGCATGGTTGGCATATGTCCCGGTGGCAGTTGTGACCACATATTACACTCTAAATATGGGTGTAACATGAAGCATGGTCTAACCCAGTGGTCTCCAAACTGCGACCCTTTGCTTGCCTTCATCTGGCCCTTGGAGCACTATTCCTTTCACTGGGACGAGCCAATATTCTTTCCACTGACAACAATGGGGCACTATTTCCCCCACTGACACCAATGATGGGGCACTATTTCCCCCACTGAAACCAATGATGGGGCACTTTTCCTCCCACTGACACCAATGATGGGGCACTATTTCCCCTGCTGAAACCAATGATGGGGCACTATTCCTCCCACTGACACCAATGATGGGGCACTATTTCCCCCACTAAAACCAATGATGGGGAACTATTCCTCCCACTGACACCAATGATGGGGCACTATTTCCCCCCACTGAAACCAATGATGGGGCACTATTCCTCCTACTAATACCAAAGATGGGGACCTCTTTACTCCCAGTGACCCCAGGACATTTTCTACTCCCACTGCCCACAGTCCAGCCCCCCAAAGTCTCAAGGACAATGAACTAGCCCTTGGATAAGAAAGTTTGGAGACCCCAACCCAGACGTAGCCTTCATGTTCTCTTTTTTGCATTTCAGTATTTCTTACCTCCTCCAGCCTTTTCAGTCACTTCATATCTTTATGCATTCCCTCCAGCATCAGCTTCACTACATTTATCGGAGCCGGCTTCATTATAGTGATAATAGTGGATCATGTCTGCAACAATGTGAGTCAGAATGGTTGCTTGTGGTCACCAACAGGGAGAGAATGTGACAGGTTGCAATGCAGGACAGTTGTTCAGGGACTCCCTGTTATGGGGTAACAAGAACCTACATGGCAGGATGACCAGGGATAATTTTAAGGAAAACTGCAGGCTTAAAGGGATTGATAATTACTTCTGAAATTATATGCACGTTAAAATCTTATTTAAGCTTTATTAGTTGGGTTTAGATCTACTTTGAAGAACTGGGGAAATGTTTAGAGATACATTTTTACTTACCATAACCATGTTATACAACTTAGGAAAAATTAAAAAATACAATATTTTTGACCACCAGGTACATGTACTGAATGTCAATGTGAAAAGTTGGCCAGTATAGGTCACTACTCCTCTTCATGAATGTGGGGAGAACTGGCTCTTACTAGCTCCATGCAGTGTCCTTGCAAAATTATGAAGCCACTAACAGAAAAGGTCATGCGGGGACCAAATGCATGGATAGATGTGTTAACTGTGCAACTGCATTTATATCTCAGCCATGAACTCACTCTCTAAAGGTTTCCTGGCCTGTACCCAATATTACTGCAGTCATCTTGACATTGGTAGAAAATAATCTGAAAAAGCTGAATATCACCAGGAAAAAAGGAGAAGGCAGCAATGGCTTCTGTGTTCCAACTTCTCCCACTGAATGCACCCCATGTGTGGAACATTAGACCCTCAAGTGTCTACATTAAGCTGGCCACACAAATATTTCTCTATTTATGTGGATTCCATAACATTTAGGAGTCCAAAGAAGTGGGTGTTCCCATTTTTTAGATTGTCCTCCTGACTTTTATTGGAATAACATTGTATCTGGACCTTTTAGCAGTGGTGTGGTGCTTCAATTTCCATTTTGTTACATCATTTGTCGTATTCTGACAGCCAACACCTGCAGCTGTCAGAGTACATGAACAGTGGCTGCATATGATTGGCTACAGTCAATGCTGGGTTGACATTTTACACCCAGGTCTCCTACAATTTCTCATCCCAAGTTTGCAGAGTCAGGTGGCATCAGAAGGCCAACCCAAGGATCTAAATTCGGCCAATTCACACGAAAGAACAATAATGATATAGAAGTGGGAGGAAAAATAGAAATAATTGGAAAAAAATCAATTGATTGATGGCTGCTGGCATCTACATGTATTCCATCTGGTCCTCGCTTTCTCTATCAGTGGGTGGCCCTGATTGCTGAAGAGACCAGCACCATGTAATGACATCAGTGCTGTTCTCTGCATCATTCTTAACGTTCCAAGTCTCACAGGAATTTTCGGTGCATTCGAAAATAAACACCGGGTTCACTAAAAAAGTTTGTGCACAAAATAGTTCACAGGGTGTACACATGGGCCTTCCGACAAAAAAGGACACTGGCTCTGATCCATCAGGGCACAAGACTCTTGACGGGGACAGTGGTACTCATGGTCCAACTGGCCAAAATCAGGCAGACCCCATTCTTCAGGGGCCCTGCCAAGGCAAGGTCTATCCATGTGCTGGGTGGAGCTCTCAAAAAGGAAGGCCCCATGGGAGGGGAGAACCTGACCATAAGGCCACATCCTTTTTTCCCCCCCAAGACTTTCAAGGCAAGCCTGAGGAACTACATTCTACTAATCGGGAGTGAGTAAAGGGCTCACAGGAAATAAGTGGAATGATGCTGAGCGTTATTCAACCTGGAAAAGGACCACTGCTGGATTGGTAAGTCTGTGAGAGACAATGCCTACTCCAGTAGGACAATGGATTTTTAAGCTGGAGTAAGGCTTTAAAATACTTGGAGCAACTTTTCCCAGTCCATTTTCTCCTGACAAGCCCAATCTTCAATCCCTCTTCAGGTTGATGATGGTGCAACAGGAAGCACCTCTACTTCTGACCTGCATTGAATGGCGTAACGAGAGTTCATACATGACTCAACAAACTTCTTTGGCCCGGCCTAGGAATGGCTACATACTTAACTGGAAAAATCCCGTTTATCTCATGTAAACAATTTCCTTCTCACACTCCATCTATTCCCCCGTGGCTCAACCCTGTCCTCGGATCTCAGTGAGGGCTTATTCAGATAAGTGCTTGGCAGAAGCATTTCCTTCTGAATTCCGTGAGGAACGCAAAGGAGACAACTGCCGTCCAATTCACTAAGCTGCATGAGGTGTCATATTCTCATCCAAATGTTCAGTCCACATACATAAACACTGCATATCTTTGCAACCCTTCTTTATTCACACGAGACAGTTATTTAAAGCAAAACCAGAGCCAAAACATTTTCATTTTTAATTTTGGATAAAGTAGAGAAAGATTAAAACATCAAATCAGATTTTTTTATGCTATTTGTGTCTCGCTGGGGAGATTTTTCGTTCACTTCCTATCCCATAGACACCACAGGAAGTGAGGAAAAATCTCTCTAAAGTGAGAGAAATGCCCTCTTAGACAGTTGTCTCCCTTTTGAAAAAAATCATATCTCATGAAAAGAAATGTATAATAGCTTTGCACACATTTACCTTTTGTTTGTTATTATGAATGTGGCTAAAAAATACATTTAACCACCACCTTTAAATGGCCAGACACTGGCAGTGCAGGGGCGGGTGGCCATTTCTAAACGGCCTCCCCGCCCTCTGGTTGTGTGCGCTCTCTGGGAGCACGCAGCACAGCGATCCGGTGCCCGCTGTGTCCTCCGGACACAGTGGAACACCGATCGTTGTAAGGGACCTCTGTGCAAGGTCCCGATCATGTGATCACTGATTGACCAATCAGTGATCACAAGCAGAGTAGTAAGCAAGATGTCACTTGTGACATCATTGCTTACTACGTGTGAAATCTGTGAATGATCACAGAGGTCACATGGTACAAGGCTATTCACAACAGCCTTGTACCATGTGACAAGCTGTGACCAATCACAGCTCACACAGTAGTTCTCAATGGCTGCAAGAATGCATCCAGAGAGAAGGAGAAATGGTTGCTTTTACAGCCTTTATGGGTGTAAAAGCATTCAGTGTAAAAAAACAAAAAAAACAAATCTTCATCACCCCCCACAAGTAGTACAGTGTAACCATGGTGACACTGTACTGCTAGGGTGACAGTATGTAAAAAAAAAAAAAAAACAAATAGTAATATAAAAAAAAAAAAAAAAAAATGTAAAAAAAATGTTTAAAAATAAAATTTTTGGTTATAAACTAATTAGGGTTATTTTTTGTCTTTACTAAAAAGATAACGGAATACATTTTGGCCAAGATTTATGATGAAACATTATTTATTTGCAAAATTTTATAAGAAAAACACTTTTTTTTCAAAAGTTTTGGACTTTTTCATTTACATAGCAAAAAAAATAAAAATTCCAGTGGTGAATAAATACCACCAAAATAAAGCTTTATCGGTCTAAAAAAAAGCTAAAAAATTCATATGGGTACAGTGTTGCATGACCGCGCAATTGTCATCCAAAGTGTGATAGCACTGAACGCTGAAAATTGTCCTGGACAGGAAGGGGGGGGGAAGTGTCCGGACTGGAAGTGGTTGAAGTTATTTTTGTAGTCTAGTAATTATGAACTATTGTGTATTAGCATTATGTAGTTCTCTATCAGGCCAGCAGGTGGGGTTCTAATCTCTTTTTCACATTATTAGAATGAAACCTTTTCAGCTGTGCTGAACTCAATGAACCACCAGAGCCTGTGATTGGACAGGGAAAGAGGAGCAGACAGGCACAGTGATGAGGTCATCCCTCTGTTCACTATGCTTTCTCATCCTATCAAAATGTTTCTTGGCAGCTCATATACCCCTCCTGCAAATGCAAGAAAAACATGCAAAAATGTGCATACTGCGAGTTCTTCATGCATTTTCTTGCCTAATAGGGAACTTTCCATTGACTACAAATAAAATTTAAAAAAAGAATATAAATTGTGTATAGGATTGTATCATTTTTTTTTTAAATTTCCCTTTTAATGGTTGAACTAAATGGAAGTGTCTTTTTTTCAACCGGACTATGTAACAAATAAAATAAAAAAGCTTCTGTACTTTTCCTGAGAGTTGAGCGACAACACGTGACTCAAATGTCAATGAGCAGAATAAAATAACCCGGTAATCTGGTGAAGAGGGTTGAAGCGTTGAAGTGCTTTAAGGGCTTCTGCAGCAAGGACAACTGCTCCTCTGAAGGGCAATCCATGCCCGGGTCGCTTTTTAGAGGTGTTTGACAGGCAGCGTGGAGGTGTTGCCTCTTCGCCTCCTGATTTAACCATTTAAATGCGCTGAGCAAACTGTTGGCGCTATATAAAAATCCTGTATAATAATAAAATGCTGTACTACTGAAACCACAATCACGTACATTGCATGCAGTAGCTGGATTGCCCCATAGATCTGCATTAGGGTTTATTCACACTAGTTGCTAAGGGGTGGTAAACCCCTACGGTTGAGCCGCCTTTTTGCTGCCCCCTACCACTTCCCCTTTACCTGTGGAGGCAACGGCTGGACACATGGTGTACTACACTGGAACAGCCGCCCAATGCAGTCTCATTGTACCTGGTGTGAATGAACCTTAAGCCTAGTACACATGATCAGAAAATCATACAAAAAAATAGCGTTTTCGAAGCGATCGTACGATAATCTGATCTTCAGTACCCAGCTTTCGTCCAAAATTATTTAAAGGGGCAAGCATGAAAATGTTTCTCATACAATACCAAATTGTATGATTTTCATTCAATCAGTTCAGTTTCCATCCAAAAATACAATACAAACACAATACAACACGTTACATCACTTCCAAATTTTTATTCAGTCCTACGAGAATTTTTGTAACTTTAGTAACCTTTTCATTATCGATATGAGATGAACATGCAAAAAAAAAAAAGGACAATCATTCGTCCGATATTCTCATCATGTGTAAGGGGCTTTAAGGGCAGTAAAAACCCTGAGCCGTGAGGTTGGGGGGTGGTAACCATGTTCTTACCGCCCCCCAACTGCTTCCACCTTTTAGGTGCTGGGCATTATAGCATTGCGGCTGCGGCAAGAATTCTACCCTCTGTATCTTTTGCCCGCCGAAAGCAACCCATTCAAGGGAATGGGGCATTCTGCAAGTGCTCCACTACTGTGTGCAATGCATGCAGTTGTGGCGCATTAGTACTGGGTTCAAGGGGTTAAAGCAGGCTTTGGAGGAGGACATACAACACCTCCTCACCTTCTATCAAATGCTCTCTGAAGAGCAATCCAAATGCATAATGCTCTTCAAAAACCAAAGAAATTTTGAATGAGCCATTAGTCATGCTTTGATGGCGGCAATACCCGCTGAAAACAAACTACGTGGTTTAGTTTTTGGTGCAGCCATGATGTGTACAGCTGGTAGCGGCTTCATGCAGGGCTGCTGTCAGAAACCACGGGGCCCCATACAGCCAACCTGACAGGGCCCCCTTCCCCAACAAAAAAACCCACAGTTTACTATTCTTCAGTTATGAATGAACACAGTATGTAATGGGTACTGATCACTCATTGTGTTCATTCGGGAAAGGAAGGGGCTGGTAACTGAACCCTTCCTCCATTCTCCATCCTGAAGGATCCTATTGCAGCTTGCAGCTGCTGGTGGGAAGAAGAGGAGGGAAGCCAGCAGCATTGCAGGGGTGATGGGCCTAGGCAGCAGGGGAAACGTATTGTGCACAGAGAGAGTGATGGGTGTGGTGGGGGGCAGGAAATTTGTGGAACCGTACCCCTGTATGGCTCTCTCTACTGCAGCTGAAAGCCAATGGGAGAGGAGAACAAGCCGGCTATCAGCTGGCTGTATTTACCCCCTGCTGTGCCAATCACGCTCCCTGCCTACATCCTATTCACCCAGCTGCCTGGGCCCCCCTGCTGGCCTGGGCCCCATACAGGAGGACTGGTGGTTCCCCCTTATCCACGGCCCTGGATGCATGTAACCATTTAAGCTGGCGGTCAGGACAGTAATACTGCGGCTCAACCACCTGCTTTTACTGCCCCCCACCAGCTGCATGTGTGAACACGTCCTCTAAATGTTAATGGTTGCTAAAGGTAAAATCAGGCACTCCTACCAGCTGCATTTAAAAATAAATGTATCATTTTTGTATCAGGTTGTGTTTTTTTTTTTTCCTACCTGCCTGAAATTTGGCGTTAAGAAATAATGGAGATTTAACGGAAAAGAACGGTCTGGCCATGGATTATAAATAGTCTCCCCCATCTCGCTGCAAAACTGTCTATACCACGCTTAATTAAACTGTCCGTCACCTGCGATCTTCCCCGACGTTTCCGCCAGCTAAATCCGACCGCTCCCATACAGCGACTATTTCAGGACAGTTATTAATTTGTATTCCTGATGGGAGCAGCTGTTTCGCGCCCCCCCATCTTCTCAGGGTCAATCTGTTCCCGGCAAAGTACACAAGACGACGGTAATGGATGGCTGCCCTCGGCGGTGGGGAAAGGTGGCTTTCCTTGGGGTATTGTTTGCCTGATTGGAAAGCCAATTTAAAGTACACCTGTCACTTCTACCAGACGCGGTCACGGCGAATTTTTTATAACGATCGGACATTTATCCGACTTCTAATGGGGTTTTTCGGCTGTGACAACTTCCGAAGCCTCTCGATCATTCGTGGTTAGCTTGTCATGCACATGGAAGTAAATACAGACGTATAGACGTACCGCAAAAAACACGCCAAAAAATGTGGCCCAGCTGGTGTGTAATCCTGCCCATAGGACTGTATTGGGAGCAGAATCTGGTGCAGCTGTGCATGGTAGCCAATCGGCTTCTAACTTCCGCTTTTTCAATTAAGCTTTGGCAATAAAACCTGGAAGCTCATTGGCTGCACCAGATTCTGTCTGCAGCAGTTTTAGTAAATTTCCCCCGATATACACTGCTCAAAAAAATGAAAGAAACACTGTTTAATCAGAGTACAGCATCAAGTCAATGAAACTCCTGGGATATTGATCTGGTCAGGTAATAGCAGAGGGGGTTGTTAATCAGTTTCAGCTGCTTTGGTGTTAATGAAATTAACAACAGGTGCACTAGATGGGCAACAACGAGACAACCCCCAAAACAGGAATGGTTTTACAGGTGGAGGACACTGACATTTTTTTCCCTACTTATCTTTTTCACTAGTTTTGCATTTGGCTAGGGTCAGTGTCACTACTGGTAGCATGAGGCCATACCTGGACCCTACAAAGGTTGCACAGGCAGTCCAATGCCTCCAGGATGGCACATCGATACGTGTCATTGCCAGGTTTGCTGTGTCTCCCAGCACAGTCTCAAGAGCATGGAGGAGATTCCAGGAGACAGGTAGTTACTCTTGGAGAGCTGGACAGGGCTGTAGAAGGTCCTTAACCCATCAGCAGGACCGGTATCTACTCCTTTGTACAAGGAGGAACAGGATGAGCACTGCCAGAGTCATACAAAATGACCTCCAGCAGGCCACTGGTGTGAATGTCTCTGACCAAACAATCAGAAACAGACTTCATGAGGGTGGCCTGAGGGCCCGACGTCCTCTAGTGGGCCCTGTGCTCACTGCCTGACACCATAGAGCTGGATTGGCATTTGCCATTGAACACCAGAATTGGCAGGTCCACCACTGGCACCCTGTGCTTTTCGCAGATGAGAGCAGGTTCACCCTGAGCACATGTGACAGATGTGAAAGGGTCTGGAGAATCCGTGGAGAATGTTCTGCTGCCTGTAACATGGTTCAGCATGACCGATATGGTGGTGGATCAGTGATGGTCTGGGGAGGGATATCCATGGAGGGACACACAGACCTCTACAGGCTAGACAATGGCACCTTGACTGCCATTAGGTATCGGGATGAAATCCTTGGACCCATTGTCAGACCCTACGCTGGTGCAGTGGGTCCTGGGTTCCTCCTGGTGCACAACAATGCCCGGTCTCATGTGGCAAGAGTATGCAGGCAGTTCCTGGAGGATGAAGGAATTGATACCAAGAATGGCCCCCACTTTCGCCTGACCTAAATCCAATAGAACACCTCTGGGATGTCATGTTTTGGTCTATCCAATGCTGCCAGGTTGCACCTCAGACTGTCCAGGAGCTCAGTGGTGCCCTGGTCCAGATCTGGGAGGAAATTCCCCAGGACACCATCCGTCATCTCATTAGGAGCCTCCCCCGACATTGTCAGGCATACATACAAGCACGTGGGGGCCACACAGACTACTGTGGACCATTCTGAGTTTCTGCAATGACATTTCAGCAAAATGGACTCGCCTGCTGCATCATTTTTTCACTTTGATTTTCGGGTGTCTTTGAATTCAGTCCTCTGTAAGTTGATAATTTTCATTTCCATCAAACGATGGGACATCCTTGCATTCCTCACGCATCACCCCATCCATGTCAGTATAGAGAGCCAGCAGCAGATTTCCCCATTCAGATCTGATGTGTTTTCAAAGTGTTCCTTCAATTTTTTTGAGCAATGTATGTACAGGGGTATATGCATGGAAACTTTTAAACGCATGTGGGTATCATTTTTTGAATGCAAACTTCATGTTTCAGAAATTTAAGCAAACCAAAATTGTTGTTTTTTTCGTTCTTTAAAAAGTAAAAAAAAAAAAAAACTCCAGAGATTATTAACCTTTTTGCTGGCAGAGTCATTTTTTGCCTTTTTTGCATTTTTGGCTTTTTTTTAAAGTGCACATTTTAGGCCTGAAGATTAGTTAAAACCCCCCAAACACATATTTCTGAAAGCAGAGGCCCCTGGAGAACAAAAGGTTGGTAGTTCCAAATTTTATGTCCTATGACATTAGGGCAATAGTGCAAATTTTCAGTTAAATAATTTTAAAAAATTAAAAAAAAAAAAACCAAAAAACACACAAATGCAATATATTACCCAGTTTTGGTAACATAAAGGCCTCATGCACACTGGGCTTCAAAAAAGCTTTTAGGGGCACTTGATGTATTTTATTTTCTGCCTCTAAATGCCCTCCATATTAGGCTATGCGTCCATGAACTCATAGGCCCCTTTCACGCGGGGTGGACTGCGGCTGCGATCTGCCTACTCAGCGGCGGATCTGTCCGCTGATCTCTGCTGAGCAGGTGGATGACAGGTCTGTGTCCACTCCAGACGCAAACACAGACCGCACTCCTCTATAGGCGGTCAGATGTCATCTGATCAGGGGCGGACTGACCATTTGGAAACTCGGGCACTGTCTGAGGGCCCGGGGTCAGTAGGGGGCCCCATGAGATGCCCCTGGTACCTTTTTCATAGGCTTTATTGAGTTTGGGCAAGGACACAGGGGCCCCATGATCCCCTATTTCCCAGGGGCCCCATGAGTTGTCAGTCTGCCCCTGCATCTGATCCACCAGATGGAAGGGGAATGGATCCCCATTCATGTCTTTTTGGCGGATCAGATGTAGGCGGGTGCAAACAGACACATTTCCAGTTAAAAAATGCCACTCCATAGAGGAGAAGAGAGGTTCCGATCTGGTCCACCTGAAAAACGAAGAGGTGGACCCAACTGGACTGTCCGTGTGAAAGGGGCCATAGGCATTTACAGGCAAAAGAAAAAAAAAACCCTTCATCACTTCCACATTCAGGAAAGGAGCATTTTGGCAGAAAAAAAAAAAGCCCAACGCATCTCAACACATCTAAATATGTCTGAACCTGTCTAAACGCCAGGCACTGTTAGCACTTGAGTGTTCATTCATTTCAATGGCCAGAAATAAATTAGTATTCTGGCCAATGGAATGAAAGAGTGTTGAAGCGATTGACGTGCCTAAACGTGGCTTTTGGTGTGCTTTTCTCTCGCCAGGAGAAAATGTGTTCAGAAGAACCAGGCAAATGTCCTGTATGCACGAGGCCATAAAACAATGAGATTGTGCCGAGTAAATAGATACCAAACATGTCAAGCTTTCAAAATTGCGGGTGACCCCCTGAGCTCACTATGCAGCAGGGCAGCTGCTCGGCCCTAGACAGGGGGCGGACTGACCATTCGAGCACTCGGGCACTGCCTGAGGGCCCGGGGTCAGTAGAGGGACCCAAGAGATGCCCCTGGTACCTTTCCTTGGCTTTTTCATAGGCTTTTTTGGGTGTGGGCAAGGACACAGGGGCCCCATGAGTTGTCAGTCCGCCACTAGCCCTAGACCACAAAGACCATGATGGTCACTGTAGTAGACTGTAGTAGTGGCGACTACTACAGTGATTCTTCCCTCCCACAGCAGTCCCACAGGTATGGTATATGCATACTTCCATTATTCCAAGCTGGAGCAATGCCATACGCAGTTCAGCTTTAAATACCACCAATAGAAAGTTGTATCTGGCTCCAAAAATGATATCAAATGAATCTGGATACAGAGTTCTATACCCGAGTAGGTGTCAGTCAAACTATCACAGCGCTGAAACCTGCAATGGTAATAATGAAAGAAAGGTAATTAAAGTGTGACTGAAGGTAAACCGTTATTTTTTGTACATGTTGGATAGAGTAATGGAGGGTTAGAACCCCTGTCAAGTTTTTTTGCCATCTTTGTCCTGTTGGGGAGATTTCCCTTCACTTCCTGTCCCATAGCCAAACAGGAAGTGAGAGAAAATCTCTGCAATTTAGGGAACACCTTGGAGCCTCCCCAGGTCACTAGAACTAGTGTACCCATTGGCTGATTTCCCCCTATTACTTTTCTGATGTCAAATTTGTGGGGTTTTCTTTTAATTTTTACTTTTGATGATAACGGTAAAGAGGACAAATAGAGAGGCGGAATCATCCTAACAGGGGCACATTTCATTTTAAATAGAATAGGGGGGGGGGGTATTTGCCATATGTGTCCCATTGATTTCCAGATTTTCATTCATTTCCTGTCCCATAGCCAAAACAGGAAGTGAGAGGAAATCCCCACCCCCTACAACGTGAGGGATGTCACCAGATCTAGTGTGCCCATTGGAAGATTTCCCCTCTATCCCTGATCTGGGGACAACGCAAAGCAGATCTGCACTGATAATCAGGGCACTGATCAGTGCCGCCCATAAGTGCTCAGCAGTACGGTCCATTAGTGCCACCCAGCAGTTGTGCCCATCAGTGTCCAGCAGTGCCATCCATCAGTGCTGTCCATCAGTGCTCAGCAGTACTGTCCATTAGTGCCACCCAGCAGTTGTGCCCAGCAGTACCCAGCAGTGCCGCCCATCAGTGTTCAGCAGTACCGTCCATTAGTGCCACCCAGCAGTTGTGCCCATCAGTGCCCAGCAGTGCCACCCATCATTGCTCAGCAGTACCATCCATTAGTGCCACCCAGCAGTTGTGTGCATCAGTACCCAGCACTGCCACCCATCAGTGCTGCCCATCAGTGCTCAGCAGTACCGTCCATTAGTGCCACCCAGCAGTTGTGCCCATCAATGCCACCCATTTGTGCTACCAGTCAGTGCCACCAGTCAGTGCTGCCAGGCAGTGCCCATCAGTGCCACTTATCAGTGCCCATCATTGCTGTATATCAGTGCCATCTCATCATCGGTGCCACCCCATCAGTGTAGCCTATCAGTGCCCATCTGTGCTACCTATCCGTGCCACCTCATCAGTGCCCATCATTGCTGCATATCAATGCAGCATCATCAGTGCCTCCTCATCAATGCCCACCAGTGTCGCCTCATCAGTGCCACCTCATCAGTGCAGCCTATCAGTGCCACCTCATCAGTGCTGCCTATCAGTGCCCATCAGTGCAGCCTATCGGTGCCCATCAGTGTTGCCCATCAGTGGAGCCTCATCAACGCACATCAGTGAAAATTACCTGTTTGCAAAATTTTATATTAGAAACAAAGAAAAACATTTTTTTAAACATTTTTTGCTGTTTTTTTGTTTATAGTGCAAACAATAAACTCCCCAGCGGTGATTAAATACCACCAAAAGAAAGCTCTATGTGTGTGAAAAATGATACACATTTCATATGGGTACAGTGTCGCATGACCGCGTAATTGTCATTCAAAATGCGACAGCGCTGAAAGCTGAAAATTGGTCTGGGCAGGAAGCGGGTGAGGGTGCCCGGTAGGGAAGTGGTTAAATAGGTCCCAGAAGCAGTTTTCCACTGCCGATTATTGGGCTGTTGTGGTCAGTCCAGCACTGTGATCTAGCTTCCAGAAGAGATCTGTCGGATTTGTGGATGACATAGAAGGAAATGTTTGTTCTGACTGTAGGAGGCGATACGCGGTTCCTGCGTTCGATGAGTGCTGAGTCGATAAGTGGTGAATGGAGGCTGTCATGTCTGTCTGGACGCACACAGAGGCTTGTGGTCCAGCTGAACCGCATTATCTGTGTTTATTCTGGGCTCCCGTATCTCGGAGTGGACTGGCGGTGTGGGTGTAAAATGGAATCCCCCGGCAGACATTCCAGGGAAGTTACACAGCTGAATGGAAGCCGACTTCATTATAGAGAAATCAGAGCGTGGTATTCTGCCGAGATTTCTCATTTCCACTCATTATTGTAACATAAAATCCATTTCTTTCATTTTTCACAGGCTAGCTGCACTATAGCGACTGTATTTCATCTATTTCAATTGGCAGACTCTCCCACTTGTCCGGCAGACAGTGCAGTCAGCACCTTTGTGAACAGCTGCTCATTTGCAGTCTATGCCAGAAGAAGCCACATAGTAAGCGCATTGTTCTGTATCAGGCAAATGATTGCAGCAATAAGAAAGTCAAACTGTATTTATATACTTTATATTATCTGATTGCCACAAGTGTCCATGTTGCCCCCTATCTATGTTTCAGCTGAACTCCAGACAAATATTAAAGATACAAAATGATGTGCACTTGTATTTAAAAAAGAAAAAGGATACACAAGCATACTCTCCGCTCCTCACAAGACCTCCTGCTCTCTAGCTCCCTTGTCTCCTCCTCCCATCCTCGTCTCCAGGACTTCTCCAGAGCTTCCCCCATTCTCTGAAACTCTCTACCCCAATTTATCAGATCTCCTACTCTTCTCACTTTTAGGCGATCTCTGAAAGCCTATCCTGCTCTCAGCTCATAATGGAATCTTCTACTCCTCCTACCAGTCCATCCCCCACAGTTACTAACTTTTGTACCACTAGCCCCTCCCTCCTAGATTGTAAGCTCCCAGAATCAGGGCCCTCCTAACCCTCTTGTATTGAACTGTATTGTTGCTGTATTGTCTCCCGTTATATCGTAAAGCGCTGAGCAAACTGTTGGTGCTATATAAATCCTGTATAATAATAATAATAAACATTGTAGGTACCAAAATATAAGATGGTATTGTTATTGCCATCCCTGTACAGCAGAGCTCAGACTAGGAGAGGAAGAAGCAGCACAAGCAGCCAATCAGTGAACTGCAGCGCAAAGGACATGATAGAAAACGGAAGAGTGACAGAAAGAAAATCTTATCAGTCTGCTGCTTCTCCTTTCACTGTCCAGACACGGCATGGGGGGAAGAACAGGCCCTGTAAGTGAAGGTGAAACTGCAGCAGAGAAAAATCGAGTTTTTTGCCCTGTGCGACAGAGCTGTATAAATCTCAGGATTGGATAGGTGCCCTTTAGCAGGTAAAACATCTCCCAGATATGTGTTTCTGCTATCGGTTTGCCTTAGGTTCACATCGGAAAATTGAGGAGTTATTTCTGGCCTCCGTCTGAATATACTAATTGCCTGGCTGTTATACTTACCAACTGGTTTCATTACCTTCTGAGTCACTGACCTGGAACAAATAATAGATCAGAAATGTCCAGGTCAATGACTCGAATTATTGAAGCAATGAGGTCATCATGACGGCCAGGCAAATCGCATTATTAGAAGAAGAGACAGAAATGACAGTCTTTGTATTTGTCCCATGAGAGGTTACCTTTAAAGCAAACCTGAACTTCAATGTTTTGTCTGATCAAACATGGAGACATTAGGGAAGAAGGATTGGTATACCTGGCAGCTAGAAGAAGTAGGTGGAACTCCGCTTCCGTGCCACCCCCGCTGTACTGAGGGGCCAAGGTCAGCTTTGGTAAGTGGATGCAAGCTCTAATGACATCAGCATCCACAGTGTAGAATTGGTCTCATGACCATGGACAGCACTGTGGCTAAATGGTTAGCACTTCTGCCTGGCAGTACTAGGCTCATTGATTCAAATCCCAACCACCGCACCACCTACCTGGAGTTCTCCCTGTGCCTGCGTGGGTTTCCTCTGGGTGCTCCGGTTTCCTCCCACACTCCAAAGACATGCTGGTAGGTTGATTGGCTCCTGTCTTACTTCATATGTTTATGAATGTAAGTTAGGGACCTTAGATTGTACACCCCTTGAGGGTTAGGGACTGATGTGAATGTACAATATATATATAAAGCGCTGCGTAAATTGATGGGACTATATAAGTACCTGAAATAAATAAATAAAATAAATAAATGACCTAACTCCCCAGCTTCATGACCACCTGCCTATCAACCGCGGCTTTAATTAAAGCACATCAGCACGAGAAGGGCTTTCAAATATTTTCATATTCCTAAAAAGCAGTTTAAAACAAAGTCCCCACTGACCTTTGTAGCAGCATGCACAGCGGGGCAATTCACATTCACTTTTTCACAGCTAAAGCACTGAGGTTCATACTTTGTGCATGACAGCAATGCACTTTCCCAGCATGCACAGTAACAAATCCTTTAGCGGACATGTGGCACTGCCATTCATTTCTAGCGCCCCCCCCCCCACGCATCCGCAAGCACATGCGCGCCAAAATTGTGCCGTACATAACTACATGGTACATAACTACATGCCGTACATAACTTCTGTTGCAACAGTAGTTATGTACGGCATGTAGTTATGTACGGCATAATTTTGCAAAAGTACCAGGGGCTCCTCGCTGAAATTAATGGGCTGTCCTACACGCGATGCGTGAGAATGTGCACACAGAAACAAGCATGCACTCTGTCGCACCTGGATGGCGTGAATGGAGCCTCACCCTGCCCCCCCCCCCCCTCCCAGCAGTGACCTGACCACCTAAGGCTCCATTCACATCTAAGCATTTTGTGAAGGTGCACGCAAAAGCATGCAGTTTTCCATATTCGTTGTCCATGGCACCCAAAACATGGCCAGCAGACACGCGTTTTGCATGCATCAAAATGTGTGACAAAGGTGCCAAAACTCACAGTTAAAAATGCGAGGAGAGCAATACCCAAAAACTTGCAGGAGTTCCTTTGGCGCATTTGTCACGCGTAGGTCAGCTCATTCAAATGACTGGGCTGACCTATGCATGCTGTGCAAAAAAAGATGTGCCTTCATGGTACGCTAGGTGTGGACCCACCCTCTCCCTAGGTTCACACCTAAGCGTTTTTCAGAAATGCAGTACAGTCCATTTAACATTTTCTATGGGACACGTTCACATCTGCGATTTTTCACCGGGTGCTTTTTTTGGAAAGAGTCAGGGACTTTTTTGTACGCAAAAAGTTTTTCATTTTTGGTTCTATAGACTTCAATGGATTGTATTGCATTTTTGATACGTTTTGCATTTTAAATCTGCTTAGCAACAAGAAAAAAAATGAAAATTCCCCCCCCCCCCCCCCCCACCGCAAAATGCAGCTGCGAAAACGCAAAACGCAATGCAGAAACGGCTTAAAACGCAACCTGCATAGGTGTGAACCTAGCCTTAGAGAATGAACTTTGAGGATGAATTGTCCCACATTGCCTGCAGCTGCAAAGCTCAATGAGGACACCTGCTGTTTAGGAATCTATAAATACGTCCCAGGGGCGGACTGACCATTCGGGCACTGCCCGAGGGCCCAGGGTCAGTAGGGGGCCCCATGAGATGCCCATAGTACCTTTCATAGGTTTTTTTTCGGGTGTGGTTTGAATGTGGGCGAGGACACAGGGGCCCCATGATCCCCTATTGCCTGGGGGCCCCATGTGTTGTCAGTCCGTCCCTGATCACAGCCTGGCTACAGGTTCCCTTTAAAATGTTCCCCATTCGTCACTGCAGTGCATGCTGCATTTTTACACACCGGCATGAAGAAAAATGAGCCTCAGTGCCATTATAACTGCTCAAATGTTTGTTTTTTCTGCTCTAATTCCAGAAACATGATGGAATTTGGTTATTGTGGGCAGCTATTCATATTTTATAAGTAACAAGCGAGATCAGACACGTATTTTTCATGTCTTTTCCCTTTTATGGCCACGTTGGGTGTCTTTAATTAAAGCCCAATCCCAGCCGAAAATGTTACATTCCATTATTTCACATGTTTAGATGTATTGTGTAGTTTACATGTAGTGTAGGGCGGGGTTAGATCCTCTGGCCGGATTTGTATTGCTTTCTGTGGCCAGGATATGGAAGAATTTACATCACTTCCCATCCAGACAGGAAGCTGGGGGGGAATCCAACCAATCAGGACACAGACAAAGTTTTAAAAAAAAAAAAAAGGAAAATTGTATTAAACACTTACTGTAATTTTCTGGCACCAAAACATTTTTTTGGTAGATGGGGGAAGGGATAAAACTTGAATAAAAATGTTATGCCTTCCCATCCTGGTACAGACTGCACTTCTCTCATCTTTTACAGGTGTCACGGAGCAAGGAAGTGAGCGAGATCTCCCAATGGGGTCACAGACAGTTATTAGATGCAAACTCTTCCATATTTATTTATTTCAGGTACTTATATAGCGCCATCAGTTTATGCAGCACTTTACATATATATTGTACATTCACATCAGTCCCTAACCCTCAAGGGGCGTACAATCTAAGGTCCCTAACTTACATTCATACATACACATACTAGGGACAATTTAGACAGGAACTAATTCACCTACCAGCATGTCTTTGGAGTGTCAGAGGAAACCCACACAGGCACAGGGAGAACATGCAAACTCCAGGCAGGAGGTACTGTGGCTGAACCAACAACCCTAGTACTGCCAGGTGGAAGTGCTAACCACTTAGCCACTATGCTGCCCATCTAGTCTATCTAGACTTAAAGTGTTCCTAAACCCACAACAGTACAATCAGTCTATATACGCAGTAAAGCATGCTTGTTATACTCACTGTGGAACCTAAGGGGTTAATGTCTCTGCATTGTGTAAAAAGGATGTTTGATCCTGTCTTCTCTGATCCTCCCCTTCTTTCACAGTTCCCAATCCATCTGCTGATAGAACAGAGCCTTGGGGGCAAGCTGCACACACTCTGTTTAGTGTGTATTGCTAGAGAGGTTTTTTTGTCTTGGGAGAGTGCATGTGATCAGCACAGGGCCAATCAGCACTGTACAGACAGAGGGTTAGGGGCTATGCAGCCTCATAGGACAGACAGGGGAGAATGAAAACTCCTCCTACAAGCTTTAACCAGTGCTCTGCTGAACAGTGACAGAAGTCACAGGATTGCTATTTACCGCTGATGAGAAAAGGTATTTAGCAGTTTATATTTCGATAAAATAATTGCACTTCCATGTTCTGTGTACTGTGGGAGACCAGATATAATGAATGCAGGGTCCGGGGAGACCAGATATAGTGAATGCAGGATCCGGGGAGACCGGATATAGTGAATGCAGAGTCCGGGGAGACCAGATATAGTGAATGCAGGGTCCGGGAGACCAGATATAGTGAATGCAGGGTCCGGGGAGACCGGATATAGTGAATTAAGGTCCTGGGAGACCGGATATAGTGAATGCAGGGTCCGGGGAGACCGGATATAGTGAATTAAGGTCCTGGGAGACCGTATATAGTGAATGCAGGGTCCGGGGAGACCAGATATAGTGAATTAAGGTCCTGGGAGACTGGATATAGTGAATGCAGGGTCCGGGGAGACCGTATATATAGTGAATGCAGGGTCCTGGGAGACCAGATATAGTGAATGCAGGGTCCGGGGAGACCAGATATAGTGAATGCAGGGTCCGGGGAAACCGGATATAGTGAATGCAGGGTCTGGGGAGACCAGGATATAGAGAATGCAGGGTCCGGGGGACCAGATATAGTGAATGCAGGGTCCTGCGAGACCGGATATTGTGAATGCAGGATCCAGGGAGACCAGATATAGTGAATGCAGGGTCTGGGGAGACCAGATATAGTGAATGCAGGGTCTGGGGAGACCAGATATAGTGAATGCAGGGTCAGGGGAGACCAGATATAGTGAATGCAGGGTCCGGGGAGAGGGGATATAGTGAATGCAGGGTCAGGGGTTTAGTAACACTAAAAATGTTTGCCAAAGTTGCACTTTTGCATTATCCTGAACGCCTGAAACATGTTTCATTTTTTTTTTGGGAGAATAAAAATGCAAAAGTCAACCCGCTTTCCTATTTCAAGAGATGTATTTATTTTGCTCGTCAAACAATCATGCCCAATTCACATCTCACATAGCAGGAATGCCATGTGAATTGTTTCAGTGCGATTTGCACACGTTTCCATGTGTTGTGCATAGGGCAGCCCATTTACTTGATTGGGCTTCCCTATGTGTGTCTGTTGCGCAAAAGAAGCTCATGCAGCTTTCTGGACGATAACCCTTGTGCAATTTTGTTGCATCCATTTTACTGCGCATTTTCTGATTTGCAACAACTGCAGCAAAATCACCCCACGTTTGCAGAGCCATTAAGAATGAATGGAACCCAAATGCACGTCGCATGTTTTGCTGTGATTTCAGCATGATTTGGAAATGCGGGCAGAATCACACCTGCAATTCCCAAACGCTAGTTGTGAATGAGGCCTTAAGGTGACAGATCACAAGAAAATCCAGGGACACCCTACTGACCACACCCACTTTTATGGGCGCAGGAGGTGGGGATAATAGCGGCATGCGATGCCTGCCACACCAAATATTGGGTGTGGCTAAATTGTGCTTAAAAGTGGGAGGGGCATAAAGGGGTGTGGTTTAATAACATCTGAGCCAACTTTGCTGTGGGTCAGGATTGCAGGTCCAAGTGTGCACTGCATCACAAGCAAGGGCAAGGTGGCAAATAATCCACATCCTTGCCTCCCGCACGTCTGCACAAGGGGAGGGACTGGGAACGCACGTAATAGCGACATATGACATCATCAATAACCTCCGATACAGGTGAGAGCAGATACCTCCCTCCCCTCCCTCCTCTTGCTCCAGGACAATCACAGAAACAATGCCAAAATAGATGACCCTGCAGCCGCCCAGGACAGGAACGCCAGTATTAGGCTGCATTTATGCGCATAAATGTGCATTTTGACACACGTTTCAGAAATGCGCTGCAAACATTGTCGATGGCACCCCCAACGTGGGTAGCAAACGTGTATTTTGCCACAAGATAAACGCACACCCAAAGTGCCAAAATGTGCGGTCAAAAAAAACACACCAAAAAAACATATTTTGGTGCCTCTATGGTGCGTTTGTCATACCTAGGGCAACCTATTCCAACGAAAGGGCTGCCCTATGCGTGACACGCATTAACGTGTGAAAAACACCCCCCAAAAAAGCAAACGGGAACGCGCGTTCCCGCTACGCTCAGGTGTAAATGGGGTCTAACAGCCGGCATCAGGGACCTAAATCAGGGGTAAAAAAAAAAAAATCAGGAACTGACCCCAGAAACTGAGGACATCTGGTCACCCTATTCTGTTGGACCTCCTGAGCCTGGCCCACAAGGTCCAGTTTCCAAAAATGTTGGATCTCGCAAGAAAAAGGTGCCGTTGGCCCACCAGGGATGGCAGACATGTTTTCACGCCCTCTGTATAGGATGACTTTCGCATATGTAATTTTATTTTAAATATTAAAGCAGGACCCATTGAAAATGCACGGCGTACCTTGAGATCAAAGCAGCCCCATCTGGTGTATACGGCACGCGCCTCGTTTGAAGCAAACCAAAGAAAATTGTCTTTTTTTATTGTTAATTTTCCAACTTTTATGCGCAGTCTATAAATCCACCGCAGCGGCAATTACATCGGCTCCCTGGGTCTTACATGTAATTAAAACAAGCATATTAAGATCAATTGGGTTTGTGTTTTTCTACTTAAAAAGGCCAAACTCCCCCATTTAAAAGTAGAGAAGAAAAAGGTCAAGCTTCGCTATGAAACCATCCAAGAAAAAAAAAAAAATCTATTCGCAGCCAAGACGCTGGGGGGTGTGGGGGGGCATGAAAAAGTCACAAGTCTGATCAGCCAATTTTCTCGGGTCTCCATTTGTGTACAGAAGACAAAACGGGGCTAAGCCTTCTTTGTTTCCGGGCCGTGCCATGAATTCAAAAGCATTAATCAGCTACATTCGACCCAGCGCAAGAAAAATGTACGCCTACACAGAGGAGACACGCGGGCCTTGTGTGGCCACTTCGGAAAAAAATCATGACCATCATCTCAAGTCGTTACTGCAAGTTCAGAATCGTTTTTGTAATATAACCGCCTGGCCAGACAAAGGAGGTCAGAAAAGCAACTGAAGCTCCAGGAAAACCCCTGAAATACATTGTATGTGAACTGACCTATCCACCAAGGAAGGGGGTTGTAATTCATGACATGAAACATCTGCCAAACAGTGCAGCCAAAAAGATGTCACCACTTTCTCTGTTAAAGGGCCCCCATGACCCTCTTCTACTCATCTGACCACCATTCCCACAGAGGGTCTTCCTCGACCCTCTTATATTCAGCTAGCAAGATTTACCCCAAAGGATCCACCATGGACCTCTTTTACTCATCATACCAGCTCCTTCACAAAGGACCCCACAAAACTGTTATACTCACCTTACCAGCACTAGCTCTCTAAGGGGCCCCTCCTGCATGACCCTCTTATACTCATCTTAACAGAGCCCCCCAACCAAAGGGCCCCCCCATGAGCCTCTTTTACTCATCTTATCAGAGCCCCCTACCAAAAGGGCCTTCCAATGACTCTTTTATACTCACCCTACCAGCACTACCTCCCTAAGGGGCCCCCCATGACCCTCCTATACTCATCTTACCAAAGCGCTCACCCTTTTTTATACTCACCCTACCAGGGCTACCCCCAAATGGCACTCCTATACTCGCCTTACCAGCACTCCTCCCCAAAGGGTCTCCACCATGACCCTCTTATACCCACCCTACCAGTGCTGCCCATCTTACCACCGTTCCCCCAAATAGCCCTCCACAATCCTCCTATAC